ATTATACTTTATATGCAATATTTGTTCAACATTCAAGTTATGTACGAGATGCGATTTGAGAGAGAGACTAGGGCGGATGCTTTGGGCTTATCATTATTATTATTATTATTAATATATAATTTGTTGTTAGGTTTTGGTTTTTGTTGTTCTCGCTATGCAAAATACTTACAAATACGTTAAAAGTAAAACGAAATTAGGCAAATCACAGTCTCTAAAGTGAATTATGAGTAGTTCAAAGTCAAAATCAAAATCAACAAAAGAAACTTGTGTAACTTGAGTGTTGCGTGAGAGAGGGAGAGTCTAGAGCGCCTCATACACATATATATATACATACATATGTATCTATATATATATGCGATATATATATATATCTTACACATGATATGGCTAGTAGAGTTCGATTGGGTGGTTCGTTTTCTTTCTTACCCAAGCAGATGTGCCTCCTCGGCAGTGTGTGTTGGTGCTGATGGCATCTTGGTGTTCAGTGTCTTACCAGTTTTGTCGCGGTCTCTGAAATAAATACTATGAGCATGCAAGCAAAAAAACCGAAAACACAAAAAAAAATATATCGAGAGAAAGAGATAGAGATAGAGAGAGAGGCAATTCGCTTACGTTTAATACAAATGAACAGCCCAAAATGAATAATAATAAATAAATTCAATTTATTCTTCATTTTTCCCTCGAGGAAATGTCAAAAATAAATTGAATTAGTTGAAATTTAATTATGATTCTAATTAGCTAAATACACACTAAGTTTGTATATTTGTACGAGTTGTTCATGTATATTTATAGAGAAATAGAGAGAGAGAGAGACTTAAGAATTGAGTTTAAGTTTGCCCAGATAGAGAAAGAGAGAGACAGAGAAAGTCTTTGATTGCTGATGCGGAATGATGGAACAACATTTTGTTGTTTTTCAATGTAGTTTGAGTATGAAAATGGGTGCTCGCTATATATACAGCAAGTACAATAATAATAATAACAGCAACAACAACAACATCGACAACGATAACAACAATAACAATAGTAAACATTTTCCATGTTACGTAAAACTAAATAAATGAGTCACGCAATGTCATTCGGGGTAAATGTCAACAACAAACAACTGGCGCCACAAATATTGAGCTCCCACTGGTGCCCTCCTTCCCTCCTGCTCCAACTACACTCCTGCTTCCCTAACTCTTCTTAACAAACTCATTTTGCAGAGCTAATGTCTACCAGCCAGACCGTGTGTCTAGGTAATTTGGCTCACTGGTTTTTTGGCCATCTAAAACAATTATGCGGCACATAAGCACTGTTCTGCCTCAATTAGAGACTCAACTGAGAATTCAGTTCGATTCCATTAAAGCCTCTCTCTACATTAGCGACTGTATTTGCTATTGAGGATTAATTAAGGCTAAAGCTAACGGAGATACCAACTCAAGTGTCATTTTTTTAAGCTACATTAATAAAACACTCCGAATGGACTGAAAATCGAATTAGATAAGAGATAACGAAGGGACACATAGAGAGCTAGAGCCAAAAACACAGAGAAAAATAACATAATAAGGAAAAGATTAACACTTTTAGAGATAAGTGAAAATAAGAGAAATGCTAGAGAGAGGATAGACAGCAATAGGAAAGAATCAGATCGAAAGACGCCAGAAAGACAGATGGATACTGCGAAAGGGAGATGTAAAGATAGTAGACTGAGAAGAGAAAGCGAATATTCTAAACTGCAACTGGTCACATAGAGAGATAGAATCGTACAGAACAAATAATTAGATAATCACATATATGAAGTATAGAGATAGACGCAATTTGTATGTCTATGAATCAATTAGTATTTTATATTATATATTTATCGTTCAAATGAAATCAAAATACATATAAAGGTCACTATTGTTGCTCAGTAAACAAATTAACCACATATCAGCTATATATAGGCTACAATATCGACCTTCATTTTCTATAATAAAGTATTATTGTTAGGCTAAGGCAACTCAAAACCAAAAGTCGTAGCGGATAAAGCTCCTATATAATAATTAACGGAATTAGAATCAGAGATAAACAAGTTATTATTTATTCCACGAACTCAACACATGTGTATATAGTATCTTTCTATATACGCTTAATAGCTTTTCTCAAAATAGCCTAGTACATCAATTAGGCGAACACAATTTAAAGCCATTAAAAATGCTTTTCAAGTCGAAGCTAACACGCACAACGCTGCTCCCACGCAAAGTTCTGAAGCGGGGGTGTTTAGAGTAAAGAGTACAGAGTACATACCGTTATTAAAGCACTTTAATATTTTTGCTGTTGCTTCCTTCTTCAGCTGTTTATGTGCACTCGCGTATTATTTGCCAATGCTGTGCCGATTTAAGCGCAAGGCGCCAGACTTGAAACGGTCAGCAACAGCAGCGAACCGGTTAGGACCGGTGAGACCCACACAGAACAAGAAACGCTGCACAGCGTAAAGTGCAATGACTGAAGTGTAAACAGAGCTTTCTTTAACTGGAGCTTTACATTACTAATACATATTTATGTATATGTGCATGAAGAGATTCATTGAATTCAGTCTGTGTAGGTATGTGGTAGTGTGATATGTCACACTGTTACGGAAACATTAATTAAAACACTTGACTATGATGATGATGTCCATGATAATGATGATGGTGTAGGTAATCAGCATAAATAATAATTGTAAAGAATGAATACTTAAGTAGATATTTAGCTCGCTGACAGAAATAGAACAAAAATGAAGCGCAGTTAGCAATTGACTAAATTGCGGTTCACCGTCGACGGCAAATTGTCTGACTAGACGGCGAGCGACTTCTGGGTTTGCACTCTGCACTCTCTAGAGCTTTAGCATGTTTGGTATTGACAAAACTGCAAGCGGACTATGCGACCTTGAGCCAGGGCTAGCTCAGCAATAAATATAAAGAAAGTTGCACCCGTGTCGATGTTGTGAATTGGTGATGTAACCGAGAGAGCGCAAAGTGAGCAATATACATACATATTTACATATGTATATATATTTGTGCAATTACTTCACTTCTCTTTTGGATGAAATCAAAAGTAATGCTAATGCTCGGAACAATAACACAAAAAGCTCTCACGCACATGCAAATGCAATTATGGCTGTGTGCTTGAAGTAACGGTGAAGTAAAGAAGTAAATGTTATGMATTTGCAGAGTGCAACAAGAAAGAAAGACAACATCAACAACAAACAGCAACAACGACAACAGCAATTATTTGAAGAAAAGTAAAGTGAAAAAGTTTTCTTTTAGCTTTTCGGTGTGCCTTTTCACTGTTCCACTTACCTGGTACCACCACCAACAATGACCACCGGCCGTTCCATGCGCACTAGTTCCTCGCTTTCTCCAGGAGAGGACTTGATCGCCTGACCAAAGGCACGCCTCACGCTCTTAAATACGGAGTTAGGCGATGCAGCCTGTGGTTCTGTGGTGGACTGATAGATGGCGCTGCCATTGCCATTCATCGCCGGTAGCGACACATAGCCGCCCTCTGATTGCGGCATTGTTTGCCTGCGCTTTTCGCCTTCTACTATTTTTTTCCTTTTTCTCTTTTTTTTTGTTTTTTGCCTCACTTTCTTTTGTTTGCTTTGCTTATATGTTTGTGTATTGGCATATGTCAGTCTCTCCACCACCCAATATACTTAGCCTGCTTTTCCTTATTTTCATATGCAGACAAAACTCTCAGTGCGTTGACTGTGTGTGTGTGTGAGAGTGTGTGTATGTGAATGTGAGTGTGCGTTGCATGCAATTTGTGCACATGTTCGTTGTTTGTGGTTGTGTGGGTGTGTGTGTGTGATTGTGTGTGCGTGCATTTGATATGCGACATTTTTGGTGGGTGTAGAAATCATATAAACAATGCGTTCGTTTGTTGAGTTTGACACGTGATTCATCGGCAGGCAGCAGACAGCCATTGTTGCCATATAACATAACATATATATATATAAGTATATTTTGTGATATATACAAATAACATCCATTCGTCAGTTGTAGTGTAGTTGCAGCAGCAGCAGCAGGCACAATCAACATAAATCAAATAAATTAAGAAAGAAAAAAGAATAAATTATAATCTAAAATGACAATCAAAATATATCACAATGAAAATGTTGAACACGAAAAGCCAACCACCCAAAACATGTTAAGCTCTGATTGCTTTTACAGTAACAATAAGGCAGAAGGAGTGAGACAGGCGCTTTAACAGCTCATTAACTTAACACATGTTATTTTTGCAAGGGAGATAGATGCTTTAAAAGCTCTTTAACTTAGCATACGTTATTTCCTAATTAAAATCGTTTTTTCTTAATTATTAAGTTCTCTGTACAGACCAAGTGAAATATGCAATACTCTCTCTCGTGTTTATAGGGCATCATGAATGCATAATGATTAACATAAGCATACATCTCATTTTGGTTAGTAAGCATTAAGCGGGCAAGCTACAACAACAACTACTACTACAACAACAACAATAGCTACGAGCATTAATTGTTTTTGGCGTCAAAGTTCGTACTTGAAACAAGATATGCAGGCCAAAACCAAGCCAGTCAGCCACAGTTCCACACACACACACACACACACATTCTTCTAACACTCACATGCACACAACGCCGCACACATGTTGCCGACTGCAGCGCACTCAACCGCTGCTCTGCTCTGCTCTGCACTGAGCTGTGCTATTTACCCCTCCTATTGGTGGCAATGTGCATTACATTAACCCAGTTCCAGTTCTATGCGGCAAATGGGGCTCTGCGGCTCTGCCTGAGGGTCTCTTATATTCAAAAGCTCCGGCCACATGGAATTTGCACAGCTCTTCACAGCTGGAAGCTGATTAAGTGCGTCAACACCACCGCAACTTTCATTTAAACACTTCAAAAAGTAAAAAAAAAAATGTTTTTTTGCTACAAACACTGACAAATAAATAATTATAAATAAATAAAGGAACGATAATGAAAAGCTTCAACGATGACGCAAACTTCTAGACATGAAATATAGAAAAAAAAAATAAAATAAAAACTGACTGCAAACATTTTGCGTCTTAGCAATAAAAAATGGCAGCAGGCAAATTGCGAACTTTTCAGTTGACCAGGCTCTGAGAGCCATAAAGCGAAAAGGTCTGGGCAATTGTCCAAACTGTAAACACATATTCGGTCATTTGATTCGACGGTCGTCGGTCGGGATTACATACATATATGTATGGTATATATAGTACAGTTTCTTATCTATTTATTATGCAAAACTAACGACGTCGTTTCTCATTCTGCTGTTTCACATTTCCCACACTGAGTGTGCTGCATAAATTTCAAGTATAAAATAATAATAGCTATAACAACAAAGGAGAAACAAAAAACTTTTTACCATAACAATCAACGTGAAACTCAGATTCTAGCAGAGCAAATAAAGCGCCCAAAATGTTGATTCTATCTCGAGCACTTGACTAAAGACTTTGGGCTACAATTTTGATGAATTTAGTTCAAATCAGTTCAATGGTCTTGTCATGCGATACCTAATGAATAAGTCTATACAGCTTGTAAAATTTCAGTTCTTATCTATAGAAGAAATTGTATACCGAATTTGGTAGCTGTAGGCCTTAGAGCCCCCTAGCTCAGTTTTATTTTAGTATCTAAATTCCCAAATTTCTTGTTTATTTTCCAAATTGTATACGAAATGTAATATGACCTTGCTTCTATAATCTTTGCGTTCATATATAGTACATAGATTAACACATCAAACCTGTTTTACTTGTTTTTGTATGCGTCACATACTGCGAATTATTAAGGTTTCCTTATGCATTATCATTGTTTATATGTTATATTATATGTTATAAATTATATATTGTATCAAATTATTTCTTGTAATTACTAAGTTCGTATAGCTCATATAAACAGCTGTTTGTTTACCTAATAATGTATAATACTAGTTTAATCTAAATCTATTTATTATTAATAATGTATTATATA